TGCTCCATAGCCTTCCCCGGCACCGGGGTCAGACTGACAGCATGTGCAGCATGACTCGTGTAAAGAGGCACCGTTCTCTGGGATTTATGGGCAGAGTCGCTCTAAACACACAGCAGAAGACAATCGGATTGAAGGTGTTTAAAACCCTGTGTGAGGATTGTTAATTATTTAATCATTCGGTGACACAGTCTGAAATGACTTGTGGAAATGCGGATAGCAGACACTTTCAAGGAAGAGTTAGTGTTTCCACATACTGACCTTGTGCAGAATAATCATGTTAAACCCTGGGTTATGTTGCGTAGGATTTCATTTTTAATTTACTTTGGTTTCGTTACTCAAAATGGTTCTGAAATTGTTGTTCTCATTAAAACTTACGATAAGAGATCTCGTCAAATACGTTTTGCAGGAACTACGCTGCAGGGTTTTTTTTGAGGCTGTATTAACGTAACTAATTATGGAAGCAGGGTTAGCGCTGTTTGGCTCACTGAAATCCTGCCTGCTTGCACCAGCAGCTGGGCTATGTTTTTTTGTCTTCTGAAACGTGGGAGCTGTTTTTAAGGCCCGGAAGTCAAGGGGGGCTGCGATCGTGAAGAACGCAAGGTTGGTTTTGCTCGCTGTCCCTCTGTTTCAAGGTGTAGTTGCTCTTTGTACCAGGCTGTTGAGTTGGAAACCATGACTTCCGATGAGTCACTTCAGTGCAGTTCTCTCACGAACGAGCTTGAGGGACTATTGCTGATGTTCTTTTCTCTTCCCTTCAGCTAGTGAATCGGCACTTGTATTCAGGAAGCGCGGACAGGACAGTGAAGTGCTGGTTAGTAGACACGGGGGAGCGAATCCAAACGTACAAGGCTCACAAACACAGCGTGAGCACTTTGAAATACCACGCTGGGATCTGTAAGTTGCCTTTCCTATGTTCAGCAATCCCCTGTCTCCTTTTTGATGTTTGTCTTTGATCACAGATTGTTAATGGACAATACTGTCATTTTCAAGGCTTGTGAAATTGTTGCTTTTTTCAACTCCAGCATGTTTTATGTTCGGTACCAAACTTTGCTGCTCTGCGCCATGCGGGAAGCTTAGATCTTCCCTTCATTTTCCACCCCCCTCTTCTGGCAAATGAAGAGGCAGTTGTTACATTTCTGTTACCAAGGGAAGTGGCCTAATCCTGAGCTGTCTGTGGGTTGTTTGCATAGCCGTGGTTTAGCGTCGCTGGTCTGATGTCTGTCAGCCTGCTTCTGCTGCGTACTCAGGGTATGGCTACGCAGCCCCGTGCCTGCCTCTGCTACCTTGTAGGTACTGTGTGATGGACTGTCCTGTGCAGGATCACGTCTCAGATTCTTTCTAACGGCTAGGCTTCTGCTTCAGACTCTGACCATCTCCCAGACTCATTTTCACAAGTCCTTTTCCCTTTACCTGTCCTCTTTCATGTATTTCTCCCCCAAACCACCTTTCTGCAGTAGCCAAGTGTTGCTTGCCTTGCTAATGCCCGGGACTCAGTTCCCCTACTTTCAGTAGTCCCGTTAATAGTGGTGTATCTACATAACTATTATTATGGTTAATAATAAATAAACCTGTTATTAACATAACTGTACGTAACAACAACAGCAACTACTATTGTTGACATAACAGTATTTTCTGACCATGAAACTCCCTCTTTAAGTCCCCTCTTGGCTGGCTTTCCTTCTGCAAGTCATCTCTCCATTTCTGGTTTTGGGTTGCAAGACTGCACCTCTGTTTTTATCAGCCTGAACCTCTCTCTGTGTCAACCTGGTCTTACCCTGCCACTGATGTTAGACCTGACGTGCCTTCCTTTGCTTCCCCAACAAACACTCCTCCCTCGCAGGGTAACCGGGGCGGCAACGCCTGTCTTCAGCTTATCTAGCAATTGGCAACGCTTCTCTGATTGCCGTGTCTGCACTGCAGCTAAGCAGCGAGCGTGTGACGCCAAACGAGTGGCTGGGGAATGGGCCTCGATCTTTCTTTTGGCAGACAGGAGTGTGATGGTGATGAATGGCTGACAGGTGCGAAGGGTGCACATCAGAAGAGCCGTACCTGCACAGGGAGGTGGCAGTTTAGTGGCAGCTGCCTAGCACCAGGCCTGACATGGCTGACTGACCACATTTATAACCTAGTGACTGAATTGATTTCTTAATTATGTGTGTCCACACCCATAGGTAGATTTTGATTTTAATTGGGAAGCCTTTTTTGGTCTTCCTTTCATTAGCCCCACAGCACTAGTTTTCTCCATTTAAAATAGTTAATTATTTCAGCTCTCCTTGCCTGTATTGCAGAACTACCCAACTCTCCCCTACCTGCAGGTTGTCATTTCTGCTGATTGCAGCCTTTGCAGTTGGCTAGAAGGATGAACTGGAAGGGGGAAGGGTGTGAGCTTACACTGCACCCTGAAGTTGTTACTGCTCAGAGATGCAGGCAGGTGGGGCAGGGGAAGTGAATTTTAACCCAGGATGAACACTGGCGAACAGAGTACTGATTATTTTGTGTGTGCGTGTTAGTGTTTTCCCCCTTCTAAATACAAAGATACAAGACGTTGAATTCATCGTGACTAGCCGAAGGCAGGATAACTGCGCTAAGCTGATGCTGGCCTGATCCAGTGAGGAATCCTCACGGCTGGGTGGGAGATGGAGAGACGGTCGTCTTCATTAATGAGACCTCCAGAGCTGCATTTTCTCAGTGTTGGTCCTGCTTTTCAAGCAGCCAGTACAGACTTGACCAGACTCTCTAAAACCATCATAAAGAAAGTTTAAGCTCAACCAAAAGTTTCATTATCTGATGCCACCCCCATCAGGTCTCTTCCCCCTCAGCCTACCACCCTGCCCCTGCCATACACGTACATTCTATTTCCGTAACGCTGGTTTTTTCCCCTTCAGCTGCAGGCAATATTGCTGCATTTAGTCAGGCCTGTGAAGAACATCCTGACAGTGTGATCACAGCATTCGCAGAGTTATTTAAGATCTCATTCTAAATCAAATGCAAAAATACTGAAAGTGTCAAACGGGGAGAATTCAATTGTTCCACTTGAAGGGTAGAAGAAATGTCATGGACCATATTAGGAACTCGTTTGAATAGAATTTAGATGCACTTTAATTCTTGGAAGAGGAAACTTCCTCTTAAGAATGAATTTATATACTATGATTGCTTGCGTTGTGGTAGTGCACCGGTCGCTTACTTACACAGTACCTGATAGTTTTGTTTCAGTTAGCATTCCAAAGACGTGTTCACTGGATACCAAGTGTTGGAGCTAGTGTGGCTAAAAATTCAGGCTGTTCACCTGGGACAGACCAGCCCTGTGTGTGTCCATTCTCTGTCTTTCAAAAATGCGGGGAAAATACCTCAATATAAGTGATGAGTGTTGTGGTTTATGTCACATTGCCGCCAGCACAAGAACATGGAAAGAATCTCAGCTGAGAAGTGGTAACTTTCTGTCAGAGGATCTTAATTGTGTGGCTTGCTAGCTGATCAGTACCCAAAGGCTTGTTGCTCCAGAGTTTACGGTGTAAATAAGAAAATAGAGTAGGAGAATGAGGGGAAAATAGGTGGGTGTGATTCCAGAATGGCTTTAGAGTGTACAGGGAGTCCAGACACATCTGAGAACTAAGCTTTAAATCACCAGAATGTGTTTCTAATGGCTTTCCTCAGCCTGTTGTGTAATTAATAGCGTGGGGATTATTAAAGCTGGTTCTCAATCTAATTTACTCAATGATACTACATCGGTTGGTTCTCTCCTACAGTATGTGCGCAGTCATTTAAAATTTAACGGGGTTTCTATCTTTCCATGTTGCAAAAACTCCAAGGGAACACTTAAAACCTGTTCTCCCTCCCAAGGGTCCATGGAATTTAAGTAAAAAGTGAGTTGTGGATTGTATGTGTTGTTTGTTGGTTTGATCACAGGTGGTAGACGTAAGGATGTATTTACACGCTAAATCTGGGTTGGATCAGCAGTTCTCCTTTGAAACTCAGAGGTGCAAAGAGACTCCCCAAAGGTAGAGCCACAGTTCAAAAGCCATAAAGGGCACCTGTCAAAAGCAAAGTCCTGACAGCGACAGCTAAAGTCAACCAACAGCTGCAGCGTGAAACCAGCTCTCAACTGGTTCCTACCCTGCAGGCCTGTAATAGCATTAAGTGATCTCCATTCACTGGGAGAAAAACCTGTTCCTTGTTCCCGGCCTCACGTCTTTGCAGAACGGGACTCGGTGCTTTTGCAGGCTTGTGTTGGCAATTGAATTTAGAGCGGCCCATTAAAAAAATGACATTGATTTTCCACATCCAGATGTTCCTTGAAGGTGTACCCAGCCTCCTGCTGTTTAATTTGAAGTTGAAAAGCTGATGGCCTGTTTGCTCCTCTCGTGTTGTAGTCCTGAATTTACTGCCATGGTTTCTTCACCTCTCTGGGAATCCAGTACCTGACTTCTCCCAAAAGATAAGGAATCTGTTGTCTTCAGGCACTGTAGTTCTCTAGAGATCTTCCCATGCTAGTGGCTTTTGCAAAGACACAAAATGCAGGGAGTAGTGAATATGTTGCTTTTCGCAGCTCTAAAATATTTATCTCTAGATAAACTCGAGGAGTTTGGGTTAAGTGAAGGAAAGTGAGCATTTATGAAGACAGTTTGTAACCTGAAAGCACACACCTCCGCCCCTTTTTTGGCCATATTGCAAAGTGTAAAATCTAAATACTCAGCACTGCCTTACAGTTTCCAGATGCAGCAGTTCTGGGTATCTCACCTGAAGATCCTGAAGTGCTGAGAAATGGGTCTTCGAATGTGTTAAGATATCCTTAACGGAACCTGATGAACAGCCAAAATCCCTGGTCATGCTTAATTTATTTCAACCCCGCCCTCTTGTAGCATGTGTACAGTTACGGCCCAAACCCTCAAATAATGCAGCACCATACTGCAACAGAGATCAGAGCCTGGGCCTCGAGTCACTTAAGGGCTCTGCTGCTTGCAGAGATCGGGAGCTACAGGATTTAGCTGCAGAAATCCACCTCATGGAAAGAATTTATCAAGCTGCTTCGCAAAGCTGCCTACATGGCACTCTCCTCCGAGGACAGATGATTTAATTCTGGTGTTTCAACAGAGACAGCCATACCTATTGACAGTAAGCTCGTGGTTGAAAATGAGGGGAAGGAAAGGGTATGTTTTAAGGACGTTTAGGCCAAATTCGTATTATGGGAGGCGGTAACGCTGTTACTGTGGGTTGCAGCTCCACTGTTTGGACGCTTCTCCTGCTCGAGGCAGCAAGTGATGAAGACACTGTAGTACTGAATGGAGACCTGGAAATAGTTATGGTAAAAGAAGTGGAAATCCTTAAAACCAGACCTGAGATGAATTGCCTGCTTAGAATTATTGAGGCATGTTTAGTCAGGGAAATAGACGTGGAAGAGAAGAGCAGAAATAGGTATCTGAAGTGTGCGTGGAGTGAGATGCTGATGGGTGTAGGAACTTCCATCTCAAAGCAGGCCGGTGTTTTGAAAAATACCAACGAGACAAGCACGTTGGGGTCAGTGAAATGGAAACTATCAGAACTTGCTGTAACCGGCAAGAGAATCAAGCCTAAAAACCTATGTCCTGCTCGTTAGGAACTAGTCTTAGATGCATTTTGAACGCGCGTGAACTGACCGTGCGTGGCAGCTGACATCCGGCCGTGTGCTTGCTGTGTTGCAGTGTTCACTGGAAGTGGTGATGCCTGTGCCAGAGCTTTCAATTCCAAGAGTGGCGTCCTGCAGAAGATCTTTCGAGGGCACAAGTTCATCATCAACTGCATCCAGGTCAGGAAGGGGTTTCTTTGCTGGGGAGACCTTATAGCACCTTCCAGTACCTGAAGGGGCTACAAGGAAGCTGGGGGGGACTTTTCCCAAGGGCCTGTAGTGACAGGACAAGGAGTAACGGGTTTAAACTGAGAGTGGGGAGGTTTAGATTGGATATCAGGAAGAAGTTCTTCATGGAGAGGGTGGTGAGGCACTGGGACAGGTTGCCCAGAGAAGCTGTGGATGCCCCATCCCTGGAAGCCTCATCCAGCCTGGCCTTGAACACTTCAGGGATGTTGATTAAGAACATCAGACACTATAGGTTTCCTGGCAGGCTGACAGTCAAACGAAGAAAGAGAGGAGATAAAATTCCTTTTGGAGCTGGTGCCAAGCACATAGGCTTGTGAAAACGGCTGTCTTGTATATTTTTCTGAATTAGCAGGTGGCTAGTGGGTCCTGAGTTGCAAGCTCCTGGGTACTGACCCACTGGTTGTGTAGCAGACGGTCACCTGGATGCAGCTGTATGAGAACCGGTATAACCGCCCCGGGCAGCTCTTCAGTGTTGAGAAGACCAAAGCCTGGCTTTGGGTTTGGTTGGTTTTTTAGTTTCAATTCATAGAATGGTTAGGGTTGGAAGGGACCTTAAAGATTCCAAGCGTACAGGGCAAAAAATCCTGGGAAGAGCGAGGACGGAGCAGTGCCGACTTCAGTGTGTTCTGAAGTACGTTACTGGGGGTAGGATGAGGGATGAGGGGGCTGTGGGTGTGCGGAGCTTCCTACCAACGCTGGGATGCTCATGGTCACAGCTCGCCTCCGGAGACGGCGAGCCCTGCGGCAGACAGACCGGCGCAGGAAGGGGAATACGATCAAGACTGAGGGCTTACTTCTGGGGCAGGGTGGGGACGACTGGAAACATTACCAACAGCAGCACGTGTTTCATTAAGGAAATGAAACTACAGGGGGTTAAATTACTGCCGGCTTGGAATAACACCACGTTTTGATGGAGAAACTGTACCTGTAACTTTCTGCAGAGGAAGAAGGGAAGTGAGAAGGAAAGCATTCCCAAACCCTCCCCGCCGCTGCCGATTCGGGTGCCTCGTTAAGCTTCAGCTTCAAAACCAGCACAGAAATTCCCAGCCACAGCCTACTCCGACACCGAGTTTAGCTCCCCGTTGCTTTTCCAGTGGGTTTAGGTTATAAATAACTCTCGCTGTTTACATTTTATGGCTCTGTGAAGTGGCTGAGAAACGAGTCCCGACTCGGTAATGCCTCATCCCACTTCAGCAGCTTCCGTGATAATTTATACTGGCTCTTGCAGCGAGCTTGCGGGCCTTGAGTGTTAGGACCGAGCTGCGTTCGCACTGTTTGACAGTTTGATTGTGCCCGTTCCAAGCTGTCCAGTTTGGTTTTAAACATGACCCTGTTGTTCCAGATCCACAACGAGTTGCTCTACACAGCTTCCCATGATGGCACGCTAAGGATCTGGGACATCCGGGGAATATGCAAGAGGAACAAGCGGCGTTTGAAGAAGGAGAGGTCTGCCCAGGGCAGGAGCTCTCAGAAGGGGAGTCTGTCTCGGCTCTTCAACAACAAAGTCGGCTGTATGGTACAGCAGGAAAACGGGGAACACGAGGCTGTTGAACTGATGTGACTGTCCGGAACAGCCTGGGACCAAAGCGGGACCTTTCGTCTTCTGCGCCACTGGGCCCGTGCGAACCAGAACTTGGAAAGAGATGGGAAACAGCTTTGCTTGAACCTCTTTTTCGGGAGCCAGGCTTCTCTGCGGCTGTCAGGTTGGGTGTCGTTGCTGCAGAGCGGAGCAGAACCAGGGTCAGGAGGGCCTGTGGCGTGGTGCAGCTCACGTACCCGTGTGCGCGTCGCAAGGAACTTCGCTTGTGGCTGCTTGTTTCATGCTCCCTCTGGCGCGGAGGCGCTGCACTTCAGCCCGTCCGGTATCCAAGGAGAATGGCTTGCTCCCGATGTGCGCCCGCTGTGAAGATGAAGGCCACCCTGCAGCACAGCTACCGGCTCACTTTTGACAGCCGGCCTTTGGGGCGGGACTTTGCCAACTAGGTACGGCTCAGCGGGAGTTTGAAGCAGACCGGACAAAGCTCCAGGAGGTTGGCAGGAGGACAGAAATTGATTTTGGATTTTTAATAAAACGTAAGCTAGAGAACAAGTTAAACCTCAGAGCTCTTGTGCCGAGGCCAGCTGTCTGCCAGGGCATGGCAGTTGTCCCCCTCCTGCCAGCCGAGCCTCAGACAAGCAGCCAAACTCGAGACCTTCTCCCAGTCTTTTTCCAGGTTCATCCCTCTGTGATAACCACTGAGCCATGACTAAACAAGGGTTCTTATATTTTTCTATTTGCAGATATAACTCTTTGTAGAACCAGTACAAAAAAACCATCTAACCACATGTTTTTATTTTTATGGCTTTATTTATTCTGTACTACAGCAAGATAAAACTGCTGTAATCCTCTTTTTAGAACGGATTAATAAACATGTGGCATCTACAGCCAGCTGACTGCCTAGTTCTTATTTTCTTCTCATTTAAAGGGGATTTGGCTGGCTGCAGCTGCACGGCAGTTAAGAACGGATGGAATATGGGAAACCGGAAGCATTCCTTGCCTTTCCCTCACTGCTGGGGCTGGAGCAAGGCACGCCCCAGAGCAGTCCTGCCTCTGGCCAGAGCTGTTTCCCTACGCAGGGGAAGGAGTAAGGAGCCATGAACCAAAGGCAGGCGAGGATGACGAGGAGCCACAAACACGCTGGCTCAGCGCTTGCCATGGTGACACCCCTACTCCAAGGCTGTAACACTGCGGGGTACCCCGCTTGCCGCTCCCATTAACTCTCACCTGGCAGGTTTCTGCATCTGGTAGGAAACAGCGTGTTAATTGCCCTAAATGCCTGCCAGGAGAGACTCCCTGGGGAGGTTATCTGACTTAATTCCGCTGTAAACCCCTTCGTCCCACCGTGGCAGCTTGGTACAGGCCCTGTGGGAAGTGTGAGAGGGTGGCTGCGGGGGGGATGGGCTTGCTCCACAGCTAATTGTAGTTGTATCTTGCTTACAAGGTCAGTGCTAAGTAGGAGAGGGACGGAGCCGCACAGATGGTCTGGGCTACACCTTTTGTTTAAAACTTTGCATGCAGTATGTTGGACACCAGAGCTTATTGTGCTACAGCAGCTGCACGTGGAATTAGCCAATGGATTTAATAGACACAGATCTCAAATAGTGGAATTAATGTCATTACCCCTTCTGCCTGTCACTAAACCTACAAGAGGGTCTTCAAATACGCAGTCAAAACTAACCTAAAACCCTCAGCCCGCGCCTCCTGCCCTGCTGATCCCTTAGAGCCGCAGACGGTTACCCAGGGGCAGCGCTGGGGCAGAATCACATCGCCAAGGAACGGCTCCTCTGACAGGCGCTGCATGTGACGATGCCAATTTTACCTTCCCCAAGGACAAACGTTCCCTTCTGAGGTTGTCGCTGCCAGTTTGCTGTGCAAGCCACTTCAAAGCCGAGAAACGTCACCTGTATGGCCCAGCGCTGCCTGCCTACGGGCTGGCGTAAGGTACCGCCAGCAGGCCTGGGAACTCCTCTGGCTGAGAAAGGGAATAAATTTGTGCTTTCCCACCTACTGCTTGTTAAAATTACATCCAGGACTAAGTATGTTTTCAATTTTAAATTCTTCTGCGTTTTGCCCAGTGGGTCCTCAGTGCTTTTCTCTAAAGAAACAGGATTCAGAGCTTCAGAGTGGTGGGGGTCGGAAGGGACCTCTAGAGATCATTGAGTCCAACCCCCCTGCTGGAGCAGGATCCCCTAGAGTAGATCGCACAGGAACAAGTCCAGGATGTAACAGTTGCTGGGGCTGTTCTTCCCAGGCAGAAGCTCGTATTCCTGGCTTTAGGGATGCTTTGACCCGCTGGGAGGAGACACAACCATACTGCTGCCAGGAAAAGAACCCCACTACCACAGCCAATGGAATCCACGGGCTGGAACCAAGCAGTCAGTTCGCAGGCCAAGGCCCTGCTCCCTCCAGTGCCACGCTCCCTCTAACAGGAGTTCGAGCCCTCATCTCCCTGCTGATCACCGCCGGGTATGGACGCGCTGTCACCAGCCAGGCGGCTGTCTGCCGGCGGGAGATCACGCCAGGTCCCCTCGTCCCACAGCTCCAGCACCGCGCCCGGAGCAGGCGGGACACGAGCTCCCTCTACCGCGAGACTGAAGCGCTGGAAAGCGAACGAACCGTTGTTGGAACAGCCCAGGGGCGAGGAGTGCTTAGGCGTCGGGACAGGATGTCACAACGCACGACCCCCCAAAGCATTGCTCCAGAATGCGGAACCTGGGAGTAGCTACCCAGAGAGCCCCTGCCCCTCCTTTTGGCAGGGGCAGATGAGCGAAACGCTCGCCCTCCTCCCCAAACCCACCCGTCTTGAGCCACACGTCCCATGGGGTTCAGAGAAGCCGCCCGGGGAAGTGACGATTTCGTTACCACAGGCACGTACACCGCCGCCCAGGCCACCGGGGTCTGCCAGGACGCGGCCCCACCGAGCGCAGAACTCACCCAGAGCAGCGGCAGCGTTGCCTTTATTGCCCGCAGCGCCCGCGGGACGTGACAAGCGGAACAGAGCACGGCTCCGCGCACAGCACGTACAGCAGCGTCGCTTGGAATCTTCCAGAAGAGAGCCGTCTGCCCGCTGGCGCCTCTAGAACCTCACGAGCCAAGTCTGATTTATAAACTCACGGGGCTTAAAGCTGGTGTTTTAGAATGGTATAGAAACGCTTCTTTACTTGAATACTAAGTGAATTAACTTATCTCACAATAAAAATATAGGTTAGTTCTATTAAGTTTTCTTCTGAAAATAAACGTTTCTATTTTTCTGCTATGACAATAAATTACAATGTATCACAAATGTAGGCTTTAAACAGATTTATAAATAAGCAGGAATTAAGTGTTCCACCTACAGTTGGACTGAATTCAAGGCATTTAGTAAGAGAGAAGCTGAAGGTGCGTTTATAATCCAAACCCAATTTCTCACGGTAAATACGTGTAACCCAAGTAGATATAATGGGATTTAATGCTGTGGGACTTGTATATAGGATAAGTATTCATGAATGATCTGTTCCTCTTCCTCCAGCGTTAAATCCAGATAATCCTCTTCATGTTCAGGAATATCCTCTAGGATTTCATTGACTGCGTCAGTCTCCATGTCTTCATCCGTGGGCGAACTAGAAGAACCTTCCAGTAAAGGGAAGCAGCAGTGAATTCACCTCTGGAAGCAGCGGGTACGTGCCCTCTTTCACCAGCACGACCGCAAGCCCGTTACTGTAAGACCACCTCGGCTACAACTGCTCCGCAACGGGTGGTGCGGGATGGCGATCCTGCCTGGGAAAAGCTGTAGGAAAGCCTGCAGCTGTACGACAGGGATCACCGCAGCTCTGACAAACAACGGGAGAGCAGATATGCAAGTCTCCTCTTTGCTAAAGGGCGAGCGTCAGTTACAGCTCTGCCATGTAAGGGACACAAGGAAGGAGTGTGCGGTCAAAGCACCCGACTGTACGGCACAGATCTGGAACAGACTCCTAGCAGTCAGAACCCAGGCGTCAGCAAACCAAAACCTGCGCCTCATCTCCTCGGTGACAAGGTGACCTGCTTAGGGGACAAGGGAAGGGCTGTGGGTGGTGTCTGCCTGGACTTTCGTAAAGCCTTTGACACTTTCCCACAGCATTCTCCTGGAGAAACTGTCTGCTCATGGCTTGGATGGGTGTAATCTTTGCTGGGTAAAAACTGGCTGGATGGCCAGGCCCAAAGAGGTGGGAGCTGCTGTCTTCTCCCAGGTGACAAGCAACAGGACAAGAGGAAACGGCTTCATGTTGCACTAGGAAAAGTTTAGATTGGATACTAGGAAAAATATTCCTCATGGAAAGGGCTGTCAGGCATTGGAAGGGGCTGCCCAGGGAGGTGGTGGAGTCACCATCCCTGAAGGGATCCGAGACAGTGGACGAGGTTAGGGACACGGCATCAGCAGTGTGATGTTGACGGTTGGGCCTAATCTTAAAGGTCTCTTCCAACTGAAAAGATCCTATGAAAACATCATTGTCAGTGGCAGGTCCTAGGAACATCCTCCAGGAACTCAGTACTCGCTCTCTGCGAGAGCACAAGCAGGGAGAGGTTGGTTTTGGAAGAGAACTGGTGTGAGTGAGTTCAATGGGAGAAGCTACGTTTGCCTGTGGGCTAGAGAGGGCCACGTGTTCCTCACCGGGAAAGGAAGGCACAGACACCCGAGGCCTCCAGCCTCGTGTGCCAAAGCCACAGCCCACTCAGCAGGCATTTCCTTGTAGCCCTTCCCAGGAAACCTCTGAAGGTTATCCCTCTCTTTGGGCTGTATCCATGCCTACAGCTGATACGTGTCCCTTAGCGTTCTGTACGTGGCTGTCACTGCCTGCAGGGGCTGTAGCCTACCTGGGGTAAGGGCTGCCTGACCTGTAACTGTGTTACTAATGACAGCAGTCTGGGCATTCCTCAAGGCCCTCTACCAGTGTTTAAAGCAGAAATCAATCATTTTGTACAGAAGCCAGAACACCCTTCCCCTGTGCTCTTCTCTCTGCGTGCAACATTCCTTACCTGCTGACTCTGTAGGCGAGTCGTTG